TACTTTATACAGTCCCATTATTAAACTCATGCAGCTTAACTGCATCTACATTCTATGCCCCACTATGCTATACTTATTTATAACTTACCTCCTACCACCCCCACATCCTAGCCCCCTCCATCATCCTAGGCCCCCCTTTACACTATCTATCGTTTAACTTAATGCTTTCTCTTACCTATTAACAATCATTACCCTTTTTTTATTTCTCTATTCCCTTCATAAACTCGGCTTTTGCTATTTTATTTCGTTTATCTGATTTAAACTTTATTTTTCCAAATTCCACTTAGGTTAACGCCCCCACATTTACATTTTTTGGGGGTTTGGTGGTTTATCTCTTATTATAAACTTATTAATTATTATCTTATATCCCACCTACCCCGTCGGCGACATTGGCTACAGTCAGTAGCCAACGTTCAACATCAAACCATCATCATCAGCAGCATACAGTGTCAATCACTCCATTTCGATCCAGTTTCAATCACTCTCACCAACAATCTCCCACTTCTCCCCCTCAACCACGGCCACCCACCCAATCTTCTTACCAAGAAAACTCGCCTTCTTTGCTCCATCTAACCGAAACAAATCATGTAACATGTTTTGTTATTCACCCCGAGAGCGAGAACACATTTAACACTGGGCCTAAACTCGACCCAATTACTGTGAGTGAGTTAGTGAGTTAATCAATATGAAAAATCACACTGGCAGAAGTGAACCATATCGTGACTAAAACAACTACATTCAAATTAGTTACGGTTACATTACATACAATATATAGTTGAGTGAGTGAGTGAGTTATTATTTAACGTCACATCGGCAATATTTCAGCCATATCGTGACGAGAACATTTGACATTGTAATAGAATATATATAGTCATTATAAAAACCTGCCGACGAAGGACAGTAAAAATACTAGATAATCACAGATATCAATATAAAATATTCCAGTTAAAGAAGACAATACAATGTAAAAATGGGCTATAGATCGCCAACAACTGAAGGTAGATCACCATACTAAGGCCCATGGGGGCTTACATTACTTTTGCTACCTGCATGGACCCTAGCTGGATTTACACCATCCCTTCAGCCATTGGCGTTTATACTGAGATTTAGCCATACATTAAAATGACAAAAATACTACGATTAAAAACCTGGTAGGCTGAAATTTACTTGAAATGTTTTGGGACTTACGTACCCTCTCAGGAGGACAATAATTTTACGCTACGTCAACCCCCTTTGAGGGCACAGCCACTAACAATCTAAGTTAACAATCTAAACTACCAATCATTAAAATACATCTACTTACAGAGCATATTAATCAAAAATCAGTGATCAAATCAATTTCCTTTGAAATACCAAGAATTAAATGAACATGAACAGTGTTGAAAAGATCCTTAACAGTTTTAACATTAAAATATTTATCCCTTATGATGGAGAATTCGACACAGTCAAGCAGGAGATGCTTGACTGTGACTTTCTCATCACAAGGGATACAAAACGGAGGATCTTCACCTTTCAACAAGTAGTTGTGAGTATACCTTGTATGGCCAATGCGACATCGTCGCATAATGACCTCTTCAAATCTGGACTGACAACCCAAGTGAGTGTAACCAATATAAGGTTTTATGTCATGTAGTTTATTTATACCTTCTTGAGTGTCCCACTTCTTCTGCATCAGATCACGGATGTAAGTTCCAATGCAAGCTTTGTAATCAGAGTAAGGAATAAGAAGTGGTGTCACAGATTTGTTGAGTGCTGCCTTAGCAGCAAGATCGGCCATTGTGTTCCCAGAAATGCCAACGTGGCTGGGTAACCAACAAAAGACGATGTCGCATTGGCCAGTAGCAAGTTCATTATACAATTCAATAATTTCTAATAAAAGTGGATGCTTACAAGAAAGATTGTTAATAGCCTGAAGACAAGAAAGAGAGTCAGAAAAGATGATATATTGTTTATGTTTGGGATGTCGTTGAATATATTTAAGAGCCGTTAATATGGCGTTTGCTTCTGCTGTAAAAATGGAGCTGTTTTCTGGTATTCTAGAAGATATTGTTCTGGATCCAATGACCGTGGCACATGACACCGCACCACCGTCCTTGGACCCATCTGTAAATAAGGATTTGTGTGTATTATATTTAGTTTTTAGTTGATTATATTCTTGTTTATATTGTAATTCATAAGTTTCAGATTTCTTAAACTGTGTCAAAGTAAGGTCAACTTCAGGCCTAACCAGTTGCCAAGGAGGAGAAGAAAGAAGACGGGAAGGAGCTATATTGCCCAGCTCAATGCCGGCAGCGGACAGGAATGGCTTAATTCTGTGCCCAAGAGGCGGAACAAGAGAAGGTTTTTTACTGTATAAATCCTAATAGACGGGATGAAAGCCACGGTTAAATGAAGGGTTAGACTCGCTAGAATAAAGTTTAGTAATGTATTGTAAGGATAATTTTATCCGACGTTGTGTAAGAGAAGGCTCATCTGCTTCAACATAGACTATCAATAGGAGAGGTTCTAAAGGACCCAAGACAAGTCTTAGGCCTTTGTGGTGGACAGAATCAAGAAGTTTTAAGTTGCTTTTGCAGGCTCCAACATATACGATGGAGCCATAATCAAGTTTCGAGCGGACCAATGATCGATATAGGTGGAGCAGGGTAGCTTGATCCCCTCCCCACTTTGAGTTGGAAACAACTTTCAACAAATCAAGTGCCTTCGGGCATTTGGCTTTAAGTGATTTAATATGCGGCAAAAAGGTTAAATGGGAGTCGAAAATTAGACCCAAGAATTTGGCCTCCTTAACAACTTTGATGGGAGTGCCATTTAAAGATAGTTCTGGATCTTTATGCGGTTTATATTTTCTACAAAAAAGTGTAGACAATTAGTTTTGGATTTGGAAAATTTAAAACCGTTTTCAAGACACCATTTATTTATTTTATTTAAACACAACTGCAATTGCCGTTCAATAGTATGCATATTTTTACCACGACAAGAAATGTTAAAATCATCCACAAAAAGTGATCCATCAATTGAATCGTTTAAAACCTTGGATAAACTGTTAATCTTGATACTAAATAAAGTGACAGACAAAATGCTGCCTTGAGGGACACCCTGATCCTGATTGTAATCATCAGACAGGGTTGAACCCACTCGGACTTGAAATTGCCTGTCTTTTAAAAACTGTGATATAAAGAGAGGCAAACGGACTCTCAAACCAAAATCATGTAAATCCTTCAAAATGCCATGCTTCCAGGTTGTATCATAAGCTTTCTCAAGATCAAAGAAAATTGATATAGCATGTTGTTTATTTACGATTGCATTTTTAACAAAGGATTCTAAGCGTACCAAATGATCAATGGTACTACGATTTTTCCTGAAACCACATTGAATATTTGTTATAAGGTTATTGGTTTCAAGATACCAAGTTAATCTATTATTCACCATACGTTCCATGGTTTTACAAACACAGCTGGTTAGAGAGATCGGTCTGTAATTCGACGGATCAGTATGATCCTTGCCAGGTTTTGGTATTGGGACTACAATGGCATTACGCCATGAAAGAGGAAATTCTCCAGCCATCCATATTTGGTCAAATATATCTAATAGTGTCATCAGACATGGTTCCGGTAAGTGTTTCAGTAGCTGGTAATGTATATTGTCATCACCCGCTGCAGTGTCATGAGCTTGCTCAAGAGCAGTATGTAGCTCACGTAATGAAAACACTTCATTATAATCCTCATCGTTAGTTGATTCGAAATTAAGTTTTGTCTTTTCCTGTTGTTTCTGATATCTCTGAAACTCAGGGACATAATTTGCCGATGATGAATTTTTGGCAAGAGTTTCACCAAGTTTATTTGCAATGTTGCATTTGTCAGTTATTAAATTGTCACCATCTTTAAGATGATGAACAGAAGATTTGGAGCCTTTGCCTTTTATTCTCGGAACCATGTTCCACACCTTAGACATGGGTGTGCGCGAATTAATTTTGGAGACATGGTTTCTCCAAGATTGGCGCTTGTTTTGCTTATATGCCCGTCGTGCCTTGGCACTGGTAATTTTAACATTGGTCAAATTACGAACAGTAGGATGTCGGCGAAAATATTTTTCTGCCTTCTTCCTACATTTCCTGGCTTGTTTGCATTCATTGTTAAACCATGGTTTACGAATGTGAGGATTTGCAGAGGACTTAGGAATTGTTTGTTCAGCAATTGCATTCAGTTCAGCGGAAAACGTCTGTATTGGATCAGATACATTAGTAAAGTTGTCCGGTATTATTTTGTCTACACACATTATTTCAAATAAGGGCCAGTTGGCCTTGGAGAAATTCCACCGTGATGAAGGGGGATCATCATCCGGTCTGATAGCTTTCAGGACAGTAGGGAAGTGATCGCTTCCACAAAGGTCATCATGAACAGACCATTCAAACTCGTTGTAAACAGTCGCATCTGCAAGGGACAGATCAAGTGAAGAATAGGTTCCTGTAGCAGGGTGCAAATAGGTGCTTGATTCATCATTAAACACACATAAATTATTATCAGAAATAAAATCTTCAATTACCTTACCTTTAGTGCTTGTACTTGTACTGCCCCACAGAGGGTTGTGCCCGTTCAGATCGACGATGATGATACAGGGCTTAGGTAGTTGATCATATAGATTCTGAAGATCAGATTGGTGAAGAGCAGATGAAGGTGGAATGTATAGTGAGCATAGGGTAAATGCAATGTGCAAAGTAAGGCGAATAGCCACAGCTTGAAGATTAGTTTTCAGGTGAACGTCACTATGAATGACATTATTTCTGACTAGTATAGTAGCACCTCCAGTTGCTTTATCTCCTGGAGGAGAAAATGAGTGATGACACTTGTACTGCCTTATATCAAATGTATCAGTATGTTTGAGATACGTTTCTTGTAGACAGAATGCTGACGGTTTAAAATCCTGAATTAACAATTGTATTTCATTAAAATTATTTCTAAGTCCTCTGCAATTCCATTGAATTATATTTGATAGATGGCTCATGGTGGTTCAATGGGTGATCTCTCACGCGGACGTGATGGAGAAGAACTCCTCACAGAACTCTGTGATGATGGAGTAATGTCCATGTCTAGAGCACTGTAGGTGTTCTTGACAGGCACCTCTGACTGAGAAGAATTCCTGGACGATTGTTTCCTGTTTAACTTCTTTCTTTCACGTTTTGTTATAGTTGTAGCTGCTGCTTGTTGTGGAATTTGTTGTGACGGCGTCTGACTCTCTGCCTGGGATGTTGAAGGTGCCTGAGATGTTTGACTGTCTGTTGGATCTTGCTCGATGACTGGTGTAGTTGGCATGGGGCGAGCAGATTTGACCCACGTCAACTAAGTTTGACATGATACAGATGAAATCTGAGTTGACCGTGTGACAGCAGCGGAAAAGTTTAGTGTTGATGGAGTAGCTGATTGAGTTATCAGTTTTTTAGCCTCTCCAAAAGAAATGTTTTGTTCATACTTTAGTTTAAGAATTTTTGATTCTGTTTGCCAAACAGGACAGAGTTTTGAGGATGCCAAATGTTGGCCATCACAGTTTACACATTTGAGTGCTTGTTGGCAATCAGGATTCTCATGATTGTCACTGCAGCGTTGGCAAACCGTATGACGAGTGCAGTTCTTGGAGCCATGGCCAAACTTCTGACATCTAAAGCACCGGAGTGTATTGGGGACATACACCTCCACTCCGATGTTGACATAACCAGCTTTGATCGACTGTGGTATTTTGGACCGCGCAAAAGTGAACAAGTAGGTATTTGTTTGTTCAATGGTAGAATCTGGCCTTTTTCTGGTGAAACGTTTCACCGAAGACACTCCTTGATCTTTCAATTCTTCTGCTATGTCTTGTTCCGACATGTCGGACAAGGAACGGGTCCTGTCGCGAACAATGCCTCTGCAGGAGTTAAGTGTCCTGTGTTCGGAAACAACAACCTCAATATTGGCAAATTGATGAATCGATAACAGATTCAGGGATTGTTGTTTCCTTACACATTCGACAAGCAAGGAGCCAGAGCGAAGTCGGGTGACATTCTTCACCTCTCCACAATATCCATGAATAGCCTTTGATATGGCAAAGGGGTTGAGTTTAATAGGCAAATGGTCTGTAGCTTCTATCACGAGGAATCGAGCCCAGGAATCAAAATCTGCAGTACTCTCATCAGATGAACTTGACTCTAAATGGCTACGCTTGGAACCAGTATGATTATGAGCCATGGTGAAAGTAAATGTTTCATCAACCCTGCTCCCCACCCACCACGGAGTGTCAACAAGGACAGTGTGTAATTGTGACGGATATCCAAGACGCAAACACCAGGGATACAAGGTTGATATGCTCGAGTGAATATGACGCAAATAGCAATATTTGTATGCCAAATCTACTGCCAGGCTGGTTCTGCCCATGACGATAAACAGGATACATACCGAATTTGGAGGTCAACATCACCAGATTGGCCCATGAGCCACCGCCTTCTGGCATAGGACTCTAGGCATTGACATATATTGATAATTTGAACGTTGAACATTTAACCAACCAACACCCAATAATAGAAATGTGCAAAAATATTCACCATGCACAGGGCTTGGCGTGACCAGCCGATTGATAGAACCGGGCCAGTTCTACCACCCGTCTAGGTGAAGTAAGGGGCGAAGTGGTGTGTTAGGCTAAAGGAACACGGTTCCTGGCTCCCAGTGCCCTCAACCACCAGCCTCCCATCCTCCACCGACACAGGGGCGCAACCCACGGCAAACGGGTTGGTGGACCAAATATCCCCCCGGGTCCACAACGGGGTGTTGAAGGGCTCTTAGCGTTACCCAGCACCCACCACGAGGAGGTGGCCCTTCATGGGTGCCAATATATATATAGTTGAAGAATCATATTACACACCGCACTATCTACACTCACAATGTAAGAAATGCATTACCTATAGTTAAACTATCTACAGGACAGTGTGGAAGACAGTGTGTGTTCGTCTGTTTGTCTGTATGTCTGTCTCTGTGTGTTAACATTTCGATCACAAGTTCACTGTTGGCGAGAAATAGAAACGGTCTCCTGTTCTTCATTCTTACCCATGTTTTCTGCAAGCATTTAGAGTTTTATAAATCCACTTTCATTCAGCACATCTTGATGCTTATGCAAGACACAATATAGGGCACGATATTGTGATAGTAATAGAGTATATTGTGATAATTATGCAAAACAATCGATGAAAGGCTTATACGAGGGGTTTATCTCACTATAAATAGCCACTGTATCGACACCGTCTGAGAGAGAAGGTTGTTCGATAGATACATTTCACAGGAAATAGTTGAATTTTGAAACATCAAGTTTTATTACTTTCGCTTTCAGGCTCCTCTTTTCATATTTTGATTGAGATTATGACCAAATCTTCATTGAATACAGGGCTTGCTGATTCTGAGAGAGCCGGTAAAACCTTCACAATGTACACATGAAACCTTACAAACATACTCTACATAGCCCTCTACTCGAGAGAAAACACGTCTACTACATGTTCGCAAGTATAATGAGTCTACTGTGTATGACGAGATTTAGATTTAATTTATTTGTATGACACATTTCATATCACTGGATTCTATAAACACTGGGGGCGGTAGGGTAGTCTAGTACGCTCGTCCGGGTTCGATTCCGTAGATAGGTACAATGTGTGAAGCCCATTTCTGGTGTCCCCCGACGTGGTATTGCTTGGTGATACAATGCAGCGGGACTTGTCTGAAGTGGAGATGTAATCACTCAAATGATAAAAATACGTTCTGCAAATTACAATTGCCTCTTTTCTGTGAACATATTTAACATCTGTATGTGTCACCGTATTCGACTGTTTATTGTGTATGATGTTGTGTCTGCTGTAGGCATGCTGCTTTATTGGTTTTGCTTTTTATAATCACTTTGTTTCTATTTTGTAAGTGTTTTTTAGCAGTAACATGCCAGATGCGTTTATGCATCCTCATGGTGTCTGGTCATGACTCAATTATCGCCGGAATATTGCTTTGTTCGGCACGATTACACACAAACAATAATTTGAATGATTAAGAATTATATACTGACATGTTTGAGGTATTCCTACTTTGTAAAAGAAGTAGGGATAGGGGTGTACTTGACCATATTGTTTTATGCTCTAATCTTTTCTACGCGAGTGAGTTAATATTTAACGTCACTTCCACAATATTTCCTCCATACCGACATGAGAACAATCTATACATGAGAACTATATAAAACCATACCATACAAACCTGTCGTCAAAGGAAAGTAAATATACCCAGCTATCACAGGTTTGGGTTATAACCGGCATGTTATAAAAAATAGACTACAATACAATACACTATAAAACCAGGCTACAGATCGCCGGCAACTGAAGTTAGGAAGGTGCTGCCTGCATGGACTCTAGCTGGATTTACATCATCCCTTGCTGGCGATTATTTAGAAATTTAGCCGAACATTATGAGAACAAATATTGTATGTCCCTGCCTCGTGGGGTTCAGTGTCATGTACGTGGCTTTATCATTATTCAAGACTATAAGAAAGTTGAATGGAGAAGGTCTGGTGAACGATAGCAACGCTTGAGTGAACACCCTTATCTGTGTCATTGAAACAGCGACAATAGGCCTTTGCTGAAAGCAGCTTGAGCGTGTAATACTACATACAAGTGTGTATGTTTGGGAGGGAGTCTGAGTGTCAGTGTCTGTGTACAGTACAATAACCAGTGTGACATGCTGTTAGCGAGACATAGAAATGTTTGCCAAGATATTGGTGAGAATAGTTAGCTTTAGACGTGTGAGAGGTAAGGCGATTTCGGTTGCTACAGCTAATCAGATAATAAGCAGATATGCTCCAAATCTTCATTAATTTCTGTTTCTGAGAGTGAGTAAGTGAGTGAGTGAGTGAGTACAGCTAATCAGATAATAAGCAGATATGCTCCAAATCTTTCATTAATTTCTTTTTCTGAGAGTGAGTGAGTGAGTGAGTGAGTGTGTGAGTGACGATGTAATCGCAATCTGCATAATTAATTAAATAATTATTCAATGTATTTCTCATAGTTTCTCTTATGTTGTTCTTATAATTTTCTTATGTTGTTTGAATTTCTTGTGCGTGTTCGTATTTTGTGATGATGTAAAAACAATATGCAAAATACTATTTACCTCTTGTCTATGAAAATAATTAACATCTGAGTGTAATTATTTCTTGGTAGTTTTTCTTACATGTTGTTGTGGATTTTGTAAATATTTTGTTTTGTTGGTTTTATTTTGTGTTGTTTTTGTGTGGTTAGTTTGTGTGATTATCATGCCAGTGGCGAAGATTGGAGCTCGTGGCATCCATCACTGGTGTGTCCGGTCTATACTGGTGTTACAGACCGCCGTTATAAACTAGGAATATCGCTAACTGCAGACTTACATAAATAGACAAACGATAACGTAGACGATGAAACATTAACTGATACGTTTGAGGCATATTTCGTTAGTAAAAGAAGTATATGTTACCGTTACAAGAAAACATAAACACGTATCATATTTAACAATTGTAATGCGATAACTGTCCCGCGTCATCGTCCGGAAGTGACGTACGTGTCAACAGAGGAGGAAGGTACCAGTCCAGGTAGGTGTGTTGTGTTTCGATTCTGACTTTGTCTTCCTATACACTGTTAACTGTTCGATATTAAGGGTCAAATATTGCGCGTATATGTCACTATAGTACCTGGATTCTGAAAGTGGGAGCTATACTTTCATTTATGCAGCATGTAGCCGGGATATTAGTGTTCAATAACTTACACAACTTCCTACTTTCGCTTTAGAACTAGGTCGGGCTTCACGAAAGCCATGACTCATTTAACTACTGTTATGTTGTGGGAATGTGACACTCGGTTGTTGGGGATAATGTCAGCGCGACTTTGAAAGGCGTGCATGTCGAAATGCTACGTCGATATTTCAATGTGTGAATTTCAATTATACATACTGTGTGACAACAGTGTATAGCCTAGATACTCGAGTTTGCTGACTGCCACACCACACGTTCCTATATTTGCTGAATATCACTTTAAGGCAAGTCATTACCTCAGTCCTTAGTTATTCACGCAACCCGTAGCCCACCTTGACTGCTGCTACTATGTGTACAGATAAGACTCGTTTGTGTACGATAGCTTTAGATACTTTGTGTATATTCACTGATATTGATTACAGGTAATACCCTTGACTGACAACTGCTTTGCAGCGATTGTTAGTTTAGAACAGCAACATTTGTTGAAGCTACAAGTACCTTGGGACTTAAGCGGTTGCAGTATATTTACTCGTCATCATAGTTTGAAAAAAGGATTTACCCATAATATTCTGTCCCTTATAAAATGTATCCACGTCAGTGCTATTAGTCATTATAGATGTCCGTTTATTAATCCATTTCTTAGAAAATTCTGATATGAATTAATGCTCTTAAAATACATTAAAGAGATTTATCTAAACAAACAAATACTGACTAACATATAAACAGATTCAAATTACATCTGGTTTTTGTTTGTTTTTGTAGCATTATGTTGACAATATGATTTCCCTTACAGACCATCTACCACCTAGCTATAGCTTTTTATCCCGATTTTCATTCGATAGTGGGTACATAAGTCCCATCTCAGTCAAAATATGTTGATATCTACCATCGTTTTAAACGTAGAATATCTGTTCTTTTAATGTTCGGCTAAATTTCCAAAATATAGCCAACACCTGAGGGAATGGTGTAAATCCAGCTGAGGTCCATGCAGGAAGCAAAAGTATAATTAGTCCCAATGGTCGCTGTTCCCTTCAGTTGTTGGCGATCAGTAGCATGCTTTTATTTTGTATTTTTTCTGTATTAATAGATTTTATGTGAACATACTAGTTTTAAACCAAATTTGTGATATTCCTGTATTTTTGCTGTCCTTCGACGACAAGTGTATACATTTATAGATATATTGTGCTTTAATGTATAGCTACGATATGGTTGAAATACTGGCGATGTGACGTTAAAAATTAACTCACTCATTCAACAGTGCTCAATGTCAACTGCATCATTAGCCCTGTTTATTAGAAATTAACATGCTCAAGGAATCTTGTTTAAAATAATATGTTACGAGGATAAGTTTAAATTGAACTCCATAATCACTGTATGCACTATCATATACACATATTAAATATGGTCGTAACATTGCTCAATACAGACATCAGATTAATGGAGGTAGATAGAATAAAACAAAATAATTTCCACATCACACAAAAAATATGCATTAAGGAATGTCATTACTGCTTTGTTTCTTTGCCAGTTTGAAGAAGCAATTCGCAACCAATTCACATAAAAAGCTGCATGAAAAAGATTGAAATTGTGTTTGTATAGATCGGTTGTTTTATAAATGATGAACAATTGTAGTTGGTAAGTATCCTTGAATATGTATATAAACTTTGTAAAGGCTCTTTTGTGTCTTAGATGTCTTCTATTCCAATTTGTAATAATAATAATAATAATAATGAGTGAATTTGTAACGCTGGTATGCTCATAGCGCTACATGTAAAGTTATTTGGGTGAGAGTCTAGACAAAGTACTTCTTAAATAGAAACGTTTGGGGCTGTTTTGAGATCTTCATCCAGATAATTCTGCAGAAAAGCTTTTGGTAGGCAAATGATCTGAATCCAAATCGTTTCAGTCTGTATCTAGGCACTGTGCACAGAATTTGAGACTGGGATCTGAGAGTTCTGGTTGGATTGTACTGGCTTACAAGTTCACGCAAATAGGATGGCTCGATACCCTTAGGCACTGGTATACGAGTACAAGAACTTAAACTCAATTCTAGCTGAGATATTCTGTTAATATATCTTTTTTATCATATTTGAAATTATATGATTGCAGATAGGTGCAACAGAACGTATCATTTTCATATACGGTAGACCCTCACAGACACCAAACTGAATTTCAGTGATTTACTGTCATTTTGTCTCAAATCATATTTGGAACATTGTATTATAATATCATATAGATGATAATTGATATAATTCGTCCGTGATAGTCTATTATAGAATTTCAAGTTCAAACATCGAGGGCAACACTTAAATTACCGATTGCAAAACTTCAATTAAACGACAATACATGACCTGAAATGAGAGATCAGCTGATAGCACCGCCTCGCATCGAATGACCATCAGGTGATCCACTATTGCTATATGAACAATGATGGTCATCCTTGATGTATCACAGAATCAGGTGGAAAACATATCAGAACAAAACATAGGTATATCATCGTTTTCGGGAAAACGATATACCGTCCATACACAAGCGTGAACGTTACCACTGAAGGTCAAGGCTAAACTGCTTAAATGTCTCTGAGTGTAATAGTTAACGTACCACTCGTATCGCTCATCCGTCGTACGTTGTCAGTTTAAGGTTGGATTGCCCGGGGCAGCGCCACTCAAAAGTTACTGGAAAGAAAATAAATTTAGAAAAGATCGCCCATTTACCTTGTGTAGACTGAGAGAATTTGTGCTGCTTTATGCGAGGGTTACACTATGTTTCCGGCGGTCACGGCAGCCCCGTTTCGCCTAAACGTCGTGTAACGGGGACGTGAGACATCGTGGGGGGGACTGAATGAGCAAACGTGACAGGCCGTGATTGCCGTGGACGCCGTGCCAGATTTATAAACTGTTCAAATATTTGTCACAGCAGTCACGGTACAAATGAGAAACATTGTAGAACATAGTAAAATGGGGGCAACATTACCAAACCTGACAGCCGTAATAGGCCGTAACAAAACTTAAACGGTCCGTAGTGGGACTGGAGGCATGTGTATTCCCCCAGCTTTCAAGGTCCTTTCAAGTTTTGTTACTTTCGGCAACATTTGTTTGGGCGTTTTGTCGCGATTGTTTCACCCTTGCTGCCCGTTTTGTCCCGGTTCAAACTAGGTTTTATGGTAGCAGTTTCATCCTGTTCTATCACGACGCATCCAGACGTGTGAATGTTTACAGGCGAGATACGGTACTATACGTTCTCTGGCATTCACAATCTGCAGCTGATGCTGGCCTTCTTTCTGACTCAAATACTCGATATCTTCTTAATCTTGGGGGTACAGCTCTCGGATACAATGGCTGCTATTGCTTGGGAAGCTTTATGTTATACTGTGGGGACAGGCGTGCTCCAAACGCCACAGGCCGGGAGGAAATGTAATGGCATCCGTAGCGGACTGCACGCCAAGGGGTTGTAGACCCTTGAGCAGCAGCCCCTTTATCCCAACGGCCCATCACGGATACCGAGATGGACCGTGAGAAATAATAGCAGGACCAAACAAAGCCTGACTTTGGAGGAAACAAATGGCCACAATCCCACGGCGCACAACGTTTCGGGGAAACGGGGCTGCCATGGCCGCCGGGAGCATAGTGTAACCCTAGCATTACTTGAGTACAGTGCATGGTGTCTCAAGACCTACACATGGATATGGAAATGGTTGTGTTGTGGTTTCTGGAAGTGTGCAATGGACATCAGGTGTTGTAACTTAATAGTTGTCTCTTCTGTGATAGACAAGGGAAATACAGCATTTCGTTCATATCAGGTTTGGTTGGGAATTTCAACATCGTAGGATATTTGTAGGAACAGCATCAGCCCCGTGAACAGGCACCGCGATTTGCACCAAAGTAAATAATTAAATCTGGGTTCTACTATCTCTACGGTTCACTCTCACTTAGCCACAGTCTATCCAAAAGGGTATTGTTAAGATAACATTGCACTATGGCTCTGTGAGAGATGCGAGCCAGGTAATTAGCAGTAGCCACTGAAGCGTGAGCCTTTGTTTAAGGGCTATAGTCTATATCTACAATGCGAAATGGTTTAAGAAGTATGCAAGTTGTGTGTGCGTTTGTTTGTAATATGAAAATTCGGTTTAAACATATTTATTTCTGATATATTGTTCAGAAACTGGATCGGAAAACAAGCCAAAAGCTTATATTAATGCCTCTCCAGACAAAATAATATTTATGCGATTTGCATTTCATAACCTTATTACAAAAGTACATGATATCATAACTAACATTAAGCATACAAAATACTTGAATATAAACATCCATACAGTAAAAATACTTTCAGTTCTGGAAAGAGGCAGATGAAAACCTGATGAATACCGCTCCGGAATACAGATAAATCATAGATATAACAATCGTGAGGACAAAAGCATGCCATTAACAAACAATAAACAATAGCTTTTTGAAATGTAACAATCAAAAACTGTAATATAGCCGCTTATAACATTAGAACCATCAGTGTCGGAAAATACTTAATAGTAAGTGCAATTTCGTTTTTACTATTACAACACAAATCTGCCTGACAATACAATGAAAGAATGGATAGATTCTAATAATTCAAGATTATCTTTAGTAAATCAATTAGAGTGGCATATAGTATCGATTTGATGTCATATCCTTTAGTATAGAAGTGCACTTTATGTCTTATATCAGTGTAATTAACGCACGAAATGAAATAGTGAATTGGATCTTCGTAACAATAGCCACAAGAACAAGAGGGCTTTGAAGACATAAATCGTTGATATTTATGTGCGTTTAGATTGCTGCAACCAAGCCTGAGGCGTGAATGGATTATCTGACAGAATCTTGATCCAGAGTTGAAATTTAAGTAGTTTTGACTATTATTATTTGACACATTAATCTGTTTCTTAAAATTACCCAAACTAGCCGATTCTCTATGATCCGTAGACAAAGAATTCCACAATCTTACTCTATGTGGGAGAATTTAACTTTTGCACTTTTGCACTTTTACTATGGAAAGTTTGGAGCTTCAAACGGTCTCGGAAACTGTAGTTTGTAGTGTCAGATACCTTAGGAGGAACGAGATTGCTCAAATATTTTTCGAGTTAAAGTATTAACCATTTTATAGAAAAATGTTAGTTTTTGGATGTGTCTGTGAGTACATCGTGGTTGGAAATTTGTCATATCATCAATTGCAAATAATACCATATCAATGTACATGTACCTCACTTTAATACAAATTTCACTAATCTCACTAATTGAGCATTTTGTTGAAACAAACTATGGCTCATCTGGACGAAGGGTTATCAAAACACTAACCCTAGTCAGCCAAATCCCACTCTGGCTATGTGAGAGACCTGATTTGACAGAATCTGGCTAAGTGAGAGGACACCATCCCTACATTCACTATGCTGTCACCTTTCCATATATTTCCATGATACAATGATTTTATGATTTTAATCCAAGGACGGCTTTGTTGCGGATTATCATGCTATGTTTATGCTCTTAAATGTACGTGCAGGAGGTCGATTTTGTACTTCGATAGACACAGACTGAACGTACGTTTGTGCTGAATAGGATGTAAACTGCCATGGGTAATGTTCACATTGCAATGCACAGGATGGACGTATTTGGAATCGTACAGTTATGTGCAGTAAAAGATGACTTGACAAAGATCTATACGGATCACAGCATTTATCGAAAATGTTTCTTTGGATGCTAATATGTGGTTTCTGTCTTCAAGAATGGACGACTTCCCCAAGTGTTCTGTCTGTCAGCAGCAGTTTACCTTTAAGGGACACGCCCCTTACCTACTGCCCTGTCTACACGCTGTGTGTGAGACGTGTGTGACATCTGGAGCAGGTGGTGTGATATCATGCTCCACATGTCAGAGGGAGGTCAACCTCACAAACTCAAGCCTCCAGAAGGATGCAGTGAGACAGAAAGAAATCTTCCATCTGACAGTCAAACATCGCCCCACAGAGCTTCTCTGTACACACGAAGATGACGGCAACCAGGCTGTGTGTTGGTGTCAGGACTGTGAAGAGTTACTCTGTGAATACTGCCAGAACATACACAGCAACTTCAAAGTTACAAGAAGGCATGTAGTTCAAAATTTCGCCGACTTGGAACTGACTTTCTCAACCGTTCCAAAATTTTGCAGCATCCATAAATATCACCCCCTTTATCTGTTTGATAAAAGCTGCAAGAAATTAATCTGTGCGAGATGTAGAATTGAAGATCATGTTGACCACGAAGTTGAGAAGGTTGATGTGGCTGCCGATTCTGTAACAAAGCAACTGGAATATCATAAGAATGAACTATCAACCTTACAGACTCGCCACCAGGCAAACATGCATAGTATTAGGCAAGGAACCGAATCCACTGACGAAACACACAACTCTTTGAAAGAAAATATTCGTCACACTTTTCACTCTTTGAGATCACAACTCAATCAAAGAGAGAAGGAACTTCTCATTGATCTAGAAAATCATACGAAGGAGACAAAGGCAGCACAGCATGCTCTTCTCACCGCCTGTGAAGAAGACAAGAAGACCTGCAAAAGGGTGTTAGACTACATCAATAATGTCTTCCTCTTTGCCTCAAAGTCAGACATCCTGGGCCTGGAGAGATATGTTGGGGAGATGACTCGGACCTGCCTAGACACTGCCGCGCCTCAAACATATGCAGTACCCAGAGCTGTCTTCAACACCAACAGTTTGTCTAAACTTAAAGCGAATGTATCAGGATTTGGTGCCATTTTGACGATGGATATGGACGGAAAATCGGAAATAATTGCTGGTAATCTAATCATTTCATCTCTAACATTGGTTTCAGTGTTTGTGTCTATTAGTGCATATTCTGCGGCCTTTCTTCGTGAATCTATATGATAGTCACGATATGGCTGACATACTGCCAGTGTGACTTAAGATCTTAATTTTATCTCACCCACTCATGAATCTATAACTGGAAATCCACTCGGTTAGGTGAAGACTTAGGATTTGTTCTTAAACATGTAGCGTTTGTAACATGCACAGAAACATAGTTCCACTGTCTATACATCTAAATCCTATTTGTGTTGTTTCAGACCGGGGTACTCAGACTGATGATGACTTTATGGCAGACGTGGAAATGAAACACAAAATGGTGAGTGAAGGAAGTTGTAGCACATCATACTCAGGCTCACAAAGTGCCCAAGTGGCGACTGGTGGGATCGGTGGACTTGATTGACACATGTCACCGATCCCTGTTTGCATAGATCGATGATCAGACCCATGAAGTTAGGGATTAGAATTGGTCTTCAGCAATCCATGCTTGTCGTAAGAGTCAGCTAACGGGATTGAGTTGTCACGCTCATTTAATTAGTGGATACATGTCATCGTATCACAGTTGTGTATATCGATGCTTATGTTGTTGATGACTGGATTATCTGATTATTTACAGATCGTCGCCATACAACTGAAATACTGGTGGGTGTTAAACAACACATCACCAACAAAATCCCCACAAAAATCGATGATCATGATGTTGATTACTGGATTGTCAAGAAAGAGCGTTGCAATATTGCTGAGTTGGGCTATAGATAACAGGCAAACAAAGTTTATCACAAAGGAGACGTTATGATGCACTGCTTCTCAACAGTCATGACTAGTATTATTCATTCCATGAAACGTTTTAGGTATTTTTGCCAATATTGTATGCACAAGATGATAAAATTACATGACAGAAATATACCACATGTCATATCATATGTTGCAGGACATGGAAGAACTAAAGACGAAAATCGACTCGGGCGAAAAGCACATTGAAAGCCTTACAAAGCTGACAGACAAGCTCAATTCAGAAATCGAAAGCTTGAAATCAGTATGTCCATTAATCTAATTATGGAATAGTCTCATTTATCTGCGTGGTTCATACATTTAGATATGTCAGCAACTAAAAGTATTTTAACTCATCGTTATTAACACTATAAACTAAAGGGCAAAAGAAAGCTGTCACTTAAATCAAAACTAGAAACAACGACATATTTGAGATTTATGTTAGTTACTTGACAAGCAGAAATATTTCCCTCACAATTTGACTGAATATTGATTTAATGCGGTTATTGCATTTGCCGCAATACATTTAGAAAAAGACAACAGGAAAAAAGAAAAAAAATACCCAGATCATTCAAAAAGTACATGGATAGTCACATAATGAGTCAGGGTATACACGCCTGTCGTCTATCGGCTGATTATGTCAGCAGGAATCCTATTCCATAAGTCCGGGACTGTCAGCGTAACTTCCCGTGGGTTCACTGGAGGTGGTACACGCAGTCTCAGCTGACGGTCATGTTGACGGAGATGTTCAATGGGGTTCATGTCACGCGTTCTGTTGTCGAATGAAGGGCATCACAAAAGACCAAACACTTCATCCCTGCATCGCTGGACATTCAGATCTCCTCGGGTGAATACCAGTCTTGTTGTTCTCTGGCCACAAATGCCATCCCATATTGTGACGCCCCCTTCTTATACGCTGTTTGGCGTCAGTGGCTCTCCTTTGAGTAAAAACTCTCGAACTCTGCCATCGCTTCTGAACCGACTGAACCGACATTCATCTGTAAGAAGCGCCCTCTCTTAGTCACGTCGCTTCCACTGACGTACATTGGTGACGGTGTAGACGGGTCAAGGCCATTCCACGGAAAGTCGTAGAAGGACTGTTCCTCTGCTGGTGGTGTATCCTATTGCTGTCCCTGACGTTGACGTCGCGGTCACGAATTTGTTCCGAAGGTGGATCTTCCGGATATAGCGGTCTTTCGCCTGTGTAGTGCCTCTTGGACCAACTGATCCTGGTCGGTATTGGATCTGGCCTGTTTGCTAGAAGCAGTCTATCAATTTCCCGATGGTGGCCTGATTGCATTTGAAGGTTCTTACCAGTGGCGTTGTGAAGTCCCCATATTGGACATACCGATCGTCATGTCTCGTTGCCCTTACGTTGATTTTATCATAATCATGGCGTTCTTTCGGGGCTACAGCATGCTTGCTCTGTCCAGCATCGGTATTTATGCCACAATCATGCATGTGCATGAGACACAATTACGTCTTTCACGTTTTGAAAAGTACGCTATTCAAACGAAGTTTATGGGCAGCTGCATTGTCATAGTGTTTATATACTCATCCTATTACATTTGCAAAATTGTTTACACAATGTTTCACTTTCATTCATTTCCCAAATCTTATTCATGACCTGTTGTGTGTATCTGAGTAAATTGTCACCACCTTATTAAAGTCTCCGTTGTGTAATCGTTCATAACTGCATTCTTTAATGCATGCAGACATGCCTTTGTTGGAAATAGTACCCCTGTGACACAGAAAACGGCAAGATATTTCTTGATCTCATAATATGTACATGTATGTTGTTCTTTCAGCGCATTGATGAGAAAGACGCCATTGAGAAGAAGGATGCCAAAACAATAGATCTCTTGCTTGGTAAATTCATGATTTCCTTCTGTTAAGGAGAAGGCTGATGATCAGATTCGAATACCCCTTGTCTAATCCACTGGGTCCCGAACATGATCTCAGTGCATATTTATATCGAATGATTCTTTTGGCTTAAACTTATCAAGCATCATCTTACTAATGATATAACATCAAAAGTCCCTATGTCTCATCACACGTGTGTGGTGATGTGTGTACTGGTGTTTCAGGTGTTGCCAGAGAATGTGGTGTTCATTTGCTGAAGCCAGGAGCTGTAGACGGATCTTTGATTCTGAAGTGTGAGTACATTTATCATGTATTCCTATTTACATATTTTGATGTTCAAACCTGTTCTTCCAAGAAATGTTAAAAGAATACTAAAATATAAAGGCAGTGTCAAATGTTCATCCATGGGGATGGTGAAGGCTCGCTGGCTTGGTTGATGCATGTCATTCCTTCCCATTTGCATAGACCGACACTCAAGGTATCAGTCACTGGATTGTCTGGCCCAAACTCGACTGTCAACAGACTGCTGTCATATGTGCTAATACCGATGCGGTGTTTAAAAACAAACTAGGGGGAGATCATAGTAATCTGGCCTGTGGCGTTCAGACGAGTGTAGCATTAGCTGTACTCCACAATCAATCTCTGTTACTGTATCCTGATTTCGCCTCACTGAGGTTATGGACAAACACAGACCCTATCGTTTTCAATGACAGGATGTGAGCGTATTAGATCCACGTTTCACAATCAATATCATAGTAGAGTTTGCTTATTTTAAGATATTGATTTCATAGAATGGACGTAAAATTGACGACTTTGTAAATGGCGTAATATATTCATAGTTTTCGGTTGTGGGAGCACTGTCAATATTCAGTTGTCAGAGGGGTACACAATGTACGTGATCCAGGCAACCAGCTGTCAGACTTCCGTTTGAGTGAAAGTACTGGAATCTGTGCTTTACTGATAAAGGGTAGTTCTGGCTACCATGTTTTACTGACGTCTACCAGGCCAGATATTTAGGATTTACTGTGACTATGATATCAAACTGCGACGTAACATATACATGTACTTAAACAAGGGGCGGTAGGGTGGCCTAGTTGTTAAAACTGCAACCTAATATTGAATAAAAAATGGCAGCCAGGAGCCTCTCTGTGTGTGTGCGTGAGTGCGTGCGTGCGTGCGTGCGTGCGTGTGTGTGAGTTTTGTAGAACTGCTATGATGCCTTTACATTTTGAAAACATATAATTCTTCAGGTCTACAATGTATTTTCACAAAAGATAATTGCTACTCCGGTGGATATTCATGATGTTGTTCTATTTAATGCATGCATGTTTCCAAAAATATCAAATAGCCATGTAAAAAAATGATTTGCTTGCATCTTTGACAAAATTATTTCTATCAACAATAAAAAATTCCCTCGCGCATATCCTAACGATAAATGGAATGAAATCCATATTCATTTGGACGTTTTATACATGATTGACCCAAGAAATACAACAAATAAAAATGTCGTCACTCTGACGCTGCTTACCAGCCGCAGTTTTTGGGCCCGGTGTGCATGGGTAACTAAATCAGCCATGTTGACTCAAATTACAGTGAGCTTAACATTGTTTACATGCAACCTACACGTTCCTCGTTATACCGTGTCCGTCTGCGTTTCCGTTGTAAGACACTTATGTATTGTGTCTGGGTATACAGATCCGCTCTCTGGGTGTTTATTGTACGCAGCAATTTAGAATCTGAACTGTAAATATGACATATATGTTGTATGAATATTTTTGTTGACGTCCTGTGTCCACCATTTGATAACCGACGAAACCCACGCTATATCCGGAGTAGTGACTAATCAGATAATTCAATGTGACTCAGTGCTAAGGTCAAAATGTAACACTCAGTAGGTTTTATTCCTGCATTCTGATTATGTTACACTGCTTGAATAAAGGTATACTTACTAAGCTGTGAATTCCGAGCATTACAATATCATTATAGCGAGAAATTATTCGTATTCTTCTCATTCATTTCACATCTATATTTTGTAGGTATACCTCTAAAGTATGACAAAGACAGTGTCAATCTCAACAAAGTCCACATCAACACAGAAGGAGACCTGGTCAACAGGAAGTCGGACACCAGACCTGCAGAAGAGGAGACTGAAGAAGTACACCGGCACATGCAGCACTGCGCCTCTCCCAATGATGGCTGTCCCCAGTACTGGGAGGTAGAGAACAGGGTCAATCTGGACAAACAACTCTCAGAGAACTGTCTCATCCTGTCAGTTGGAGTATGTAGGGAGGAGCAGAGGGACCTACATCATCGTATAGATGAACGTCCTTACTCCTACTGTATGAACGTCGCCCATCTTACTAAGCACATCGGGTTATGCAACAATATATGGAAGGAAGGGAAGCGTGTGCTGTGTCTGCCTGACACTCTCCCCAACACAGCAGGGGCATCAAACACACTACATTACGGTGTTGTCTATGATGACGCCAGGAAGAAGATTGTCTTCATTGATTTGAAGGAGAAGAAAGTCATTTCGACGTTAGACAATGTTGACTGTAGTGAACCACTGTGGCCGATGTTCGGGGTGTATAACCCACATCTCCTAACTGTCAGCATGGGACTTGTAGTGGGCAGCGACATCAACATGACGGAGGAGAAGAAAGCCATGATTGTCAAGGCGTTGTCATGATGGTGACACTGATGGTGATTTGAACTCAAAGACATTCGAATTTAATTCTACCAAGGAACACTTCATAACTTGATAATATCTTCTCTATGAAAAAGGACGTTTACAATGATAACGTACATGGCATCGCCATGTATTTACATACAACTCTGTCAAAGTGTACTATTTACACAACACAAAGCCAATAGTAGCTACTACATCCAGTGTGTATAATTATGAAATATGAAATGCAGGATTCTAATTCAACTTAGTATGTAACACGAGTTCTGATTGGTCAATGTTATAAAACCGATTCACCAAAACCTCCCTATCCAGCTAAATGGGTGGAATGTGTGTTAAAAAAAGACAAAACAGTTTCATAAATTTAATTTTAAGTTAAAACAACTTACTGGCAACAGGCTGTTGACCCAACACTGTTAGATCATAAAACAAGATTCATGACGTCACTATGACGTCATTTCACAACAGAACTGATAATAGCCCGTAGTTGGGGAATCAGCGGGCCGGTCATTTCTAATATCTGGTGAGTGGTTTCATCATATGATTTATTCATCAGATTTAGACAGTGTGCACATAATAAACGTGCTGAAAGTTTGAATAGGGAACTACTTTTTCTAGCGATGGTGTAATTTCAAGGAGTGATGTGATTAACCTTTGACCTAGAGGAACTTTGGCCTGGTTCAAATAATGAAAAAAAACCAGTGTAAAACGAGTTGAATTAGAATTGGGATAACTGTATTGTGTTTTGACGAATGGGGGACGTATACTGGTTTTTATATAGCCGCAAATTTAACGTGATATCGGCTCCGCTTTAGCGTCGCCGATATAACTAAATTTCGGCGTCGCCAATATAACGTTAAATTTGCGGCTATATAACCACCGGTATACGTCCCCAATTCGTCAAACACAGAACAGTTATCCCCTAAATATGTATGCGTGGTGATTATAAGTTAACACATTAAACAAAAACAGTAGAAAATTTGTTCTTGTTGAAATTCCTTCAGAGATGTTGCTACAACGGCGTGAGGCAAGCACATATTGCAAGGATAATTGTATTTTCGAGTCTTGCAGTTGAACGTATGAGAAAGGACTACACGCCTTATAAATATAAAGAGTGACGAAGTACAAAAGCTGCAGCATTGTTTTGCAAATACGAGTGAATGCCACATGCACGTGGATGTTTTCCCCGTCTCCACTTCTTGCACGGTAATTCGTGAACATATTTTACGAATACTTCAGTGACTATTTAAGTTTCAGATCGTTGGTACATGTTTCCACCGACTGTGGTAATATTTCGTCCATTTAAAAATGGAAGTCCTTAACATGGTGTACCCACTGCATTTGTAGATTCGCACCGAAGATTAAAGTGAGATGCTTTTAACCACTAAGCTACCCAACCGCCTCTGTTCAACAGTGGTATGGCTTCATTCAAATCCAACGCAGAACCTCTGAAAAATGAATATGTAGGAAATATTACCACAAAGATGAAGGTCAACTTTGCATGTGTTTATATCGGTTCACATAACAAATCACACAGTTGCTGTGTGTTATTGTTACCGTCATTTCCAAAGGTTGTAAGGATGCTTTTAACCACTAAGCTACCCAACCGCCTCTGTTCAACAGTGGTATGGCTTCATTCAAATCTTCAAAGTGACGCAGAACAGTGTATGCGAAAAGCTCCGAAAATGAATATGTGTAGGAAATATTACCACAAAGATGAAGGTCAACTTCTTGCATAATGTGTTTATACGGGTTCACATAACAAATATCACACAGCTGCTGTGTTATTGTTACCGTCATTTCCAAAGGTTGTAAGGAAATCTTTCAAATATAATATAATTAACAGGTGATCATCTCACCAAACATTAGCAAATATATCTTGTTCAACGGCTTGGTGTCTTTCTGAAGAAAAGGGTTGTGCAACATTCCAAGGCAGTTATGCGTTATTTTTGCTAAAAACAGAGGCGGTCGGATAGCCTCGGGGTTAAAAGCATCTCTCGTTACGCGCGGGTTCGACTCTATAATTGCAGTTGCTGGACTATTACAACCATTGACGTAAACCTGTACCAACGATCTCAAACGTAAGAATTTTCCGAGCATTTCTCATATACTGTTCTGACTTATCCTCAAGCATTGCATTTTGGGATATTTCTTAATATAAGAATTCATGCCTACAGAGATTGGTTTGCTTGGTTGGTTGTTTAACGCCGTACTCAGACATTTTCCAGCTATATGGCGGAGGTCTGTAAATAATTGAGTCTGAACCAGACAATTCAGTGATCAACACTATGAGCATCGTCCCACGCAATTGGGATACGATGGCATGTGTCAACCAAGTCAGCGAGCCTAACCGTCCGATCCGTTAGTCGCCTCATACGACCAGTTCTGAAGACCAACTTACACCGGCAGTATTCGAGCCACATCGTGTCTAACACAACAACATTAATCATACATTATAAACAATAGAACCTGTCAACAACGGACAGTAAAATAACGAGAGGGTCACAGATATAGGTATAGTATGACCAGAAATTATCGAGAATTTTAGGAATATGTTCAATTTGATTTCTAGTATAAACAACCTTGGCCAGCTATCAAGTGTTTGGTTTCATTCAAGAGAGACAACTCCGTTAATCATTTTTCATTAGTTTGTGAAGAGTTATCCCCCTTTGTTTACTTGCTAGCAGACAACATTTTCAGTGATCCTCAGTATGGATGATTTAGAGAACAGGAAGTTCATTATAGAGTATTATAACAAGGACATCAGATCAGCTAAAGTGATTTCAAGTAGAACAGGCATCCCTTTGTCCACTGTTTTTCGTGTTTTGAAAACTATTGCAATTGGATATGGCATTGAGCAGCAGGGAGGCGCAGGTAGGCCCAGAAAATTGAGTGTCGGTGACAGGGGGCGGCTTGGTATTCTTGTATAACAAACGAAGGAGTTTAGAAAACTTAAGGCTGGATATGACTGATAGAGGAACTGTGGCTGTCTGTTAGGAGACAATTTGAACTGAGCTGCATGCAATGGGTTGGCAGAAAAGTCGAGGAATTCCACCACCGATCATGAAACCTGAACAAAAGGAGCGAAGGTTGAACTGGTGCTTACAGCATAGAAATATTAACTGGGACAATGTGATTTTCTCAGATGAAAGTTCGGTGTGGCTGTTTGCTAATACACTGAAATTCTGGACCAAACAAACTGAAACACCTTTGTATCAGCGCCCAAAGTACAGTCCGAAATTTAACGTGTGGGGTGGCATATCTGTGTTAGGGGCAACGCCCCTCTGTGTATTTAAAGGGAATATGAACAGTGAGCGGTACACAAATATTCTCGAGGGACATTTACTTCCTCTGCTCACATGTTCTATGGAAAAAATTTGATTTTCCAGCAGGACAACGACCCAAAACATCGTTCAAAGCATTCACAGGCCTGGTTTCGGACCCAAAATATGACATTATTAGATTGGCCAAGCTATAGCCCTGACCTAAATCCAATAGAAAATGTTTGGGGACTCATGAAGGAAAGTGTCAATAAGAAAAATCTGACAAATATTGCTGAAATGAAAGAAGAGGTGGTCCGATATTGGGACAGCATGGACTACGTCTTTCTAACTTCTTTGATCAGTAGTATGCCCCGCCGCATTGAAGCCTGCATTGTTGCCCATGGTGACTTGACAAAATACTAACTGTTCACTTGTCTTTGAATCTGGAGTTATGTTCTGCCAATATTCACATTTAATACGTGAGTAATGAGTGAATTGTTTTTTTTAAAATTACGATCTTAAATTCTCAATAATTTCTGGTTGTACTGTATAAAACTGAGTATGTACGCAGTAAGCAGTAAGTGTTATGTTAAATATAGCTTTTCACAACGATGCATTACTTACTGTACTATCGATCAACAGCAGCCAGAGTTAATTTCAAAGCTGCATAGCTGTGATATGATACTAGAATGTTTCTGTTATAGTGACGTTGTGTCTGGCGCAGAAGTCTTCTTCATTTATAGTGTTATAGTGTCAGTATTGAGACTGGCGTTGACGTTTGGTATTGTAATGTTAGTACTGCGATTGGCGTTGACGTTTGGTATTGTAATGTCAATGGTATTGCGACTGGCGTTCACGATTGGTATAATGTAATGTTAGTATTGTAATGTTAGTACGTGACGTTTGCTGTTATGTTAAATGTCAGTATTGTAACTGACGTTCACGTTTGGTATTGAAATGTTAGAATTGCGACTTTTGAAAGCGAAACTGTTCACTACAAATAACACAGTGTCACCTTGATCACGTTGACGTTTCAGGCTCATCTTATTATGAGTTCGAATCAAAACCCGATTATTACATTGTTGGTATCATATCCCAGATCGTGGGTATCATGGGAAGTTTAAACATTTTGCAGGAACACACCCGCAGTCACCGATGAGCTTTAATGATACAATCATATAATTTCCAACACTAAAGCACCTTGGGTGTCCTGTGTAAATGTCTTAAACCTGGGTCACCGTGGACCGCAGTCCCGACTATGGGAGGGACCATGAGCTACCCCTAAATCGAACACCAAAACGCTAAATGTATATGGCGAAGATGGACATTGAAAATGTAGCCAGCCAGCAAGTACATTTACTGTTATAGTTATCTGCAGTTTTAGTCTCCGAAATATGCACTTGAAGAAACAAATTACTCACGGTTACATTACATTTAATATATAGTTCTATAACCTGTCACTGGCATCACAGTTCAAAGGTCAAATGAACTGGAGCTCGCGTCTCCCGGAGTGGGTAACGTCGCTCTGGAACACTGTCACTGCTGTAATCTCTATTCTCGGTCTGACAAGGCTGACTAGCTTCTTGAGACTCTGGAACACTGTCACTGCTGTAATCTCTAGTCTCGGTCTGACAAGGCTGACTAGCTTCTTGAGTCTCTGGAACACTGTCACTGCTGTAATCTCTAGTCTCGGTCTGACAAGGCTGACTAGATTCTTGAGACTCTGGAACACTGTCACTGCTGTAATCTCTAGTCTCGGTCTGACAAGGCTGACTGTCTTCTTGAGACTCTGGAACACTGTCACTGTTGTAATCTCTAGTCTCGGTCTGACAAGGCTGACTAGCTTCTTGAGACTCTGGAACACTGTCACTGCTTGTAATCTCTAGTCTCGGTCTGACAAGGCTGATTAGATTCTTGAGTCTCTGGAACACTGTCACTGCTGTAATCTCTAGTCTCGGTCTGACAAGGCTGATTAGATTCTTGAGTCTCTGGAACACTGTCACTGCTGTAATCTCTAGTTTCGGTCTAACAAGGCTGATTAGCTTCTTGAGAATCTGGAATGTTCACTGGCGTTCCTTTTTCAGCTGACATTGTAACTTCCGGATTCTGACAAATTACAATTTGATCCGCATGTCTCCCGCATAATGTTTGAGGAGCTACCTGTACCTGTACCAGTTTTTCTCACAACACTACCTGGTACCCACTTTTCTCCTTACCGCTAGTTACTTGATAGAACTGCTTGTTCTATATCGAACTTTTGTATTCCCTCTGTCGTCTATCTGCCTCTGTCGTCTATCTGCCTCTGTTGAGCATCCTCCACTGTAGTAGTGATTGACGGATTTATCAAGTCAAGTCATGACCTTAGTCGACGTCCCATCATAGCTACTGCTGGCGCTTTTGTTGTGGTGTGAGGTGTGTTTCGGTACATCATTAGAAACATACATATCACTTGTCGTGGTGTGAGGTGTGTTTCGGTACATCATTAGAAACGTAAACACCCACTACAAAAATGACTTGGTTTTCTGAAACCTGGAAACCATCCGTATACTGGGTAATTTGGGAATCCAGTTGGTTTCCATTCACTGAAACTGAGTAACTGAGTTTCCAACTAGATTCCATTTTGGATTCTTTGATTTTGGCATTTCTGTAAATGGAAACCAACAAGAAACTAAGGTTAGAAGTTTCTTGTTGGTTTCCATTCCCGGAATTTGCAATTGA